TCCTTATCATTTTTTTGAATATTCTCTTTTTTGCAACTTACTTTATTGTAAGAATACAGTATATAAGACATATAACATACAAAATATGTACTTATTTATGTTATCATTAAAGCTTCCAGTCAACAGGTTATTAGTAGCTTCTCCCCATGTTGTTCAAGGGTGAACTATATTATGGATGTAATGTACAACATGAAGACTACAGCTAATACTGATGTATGATATACAGAAAAGTTCGTAAGAGAATAAACCCTAAGAGTTCTCATCACGAGGAAATTTTTTTTTCTCTTTCTTTCCTTTTTACCGCATCTATATTAGAAGATATCAGCTGATATCAGCTGAACCTATTATGGTAATCATTTCACAATATGTGCAAACCAAACCATCATGCTGTATGCCTTAAACTTATACAACAATGTATGTCAATTTTTTCTCAATAAAACCAGAGAAAAAGAAAAAAGAGAATTAAAGAGTACTGTCTCTTATGATGCAAAATTCCTCAACAAAATAATGGCAAGCTGAATTTAGCAGCATATGAAAAGGATTACACAACATGACCAAGTGGGATTTATCCCAAAATACAAGGTTCGTTCACCATATGAAAATCAATTAATGTAAGATACCAAATTAAAAGAATTAAGGGGGGAAAAAACCAACATGATCATCTCAACACACACAGAGAAAAGCATCTGACAAAATCCAACACCCATTCATGATAAAAACACTCAACAACTAGGAATGGAAGGGAACTTTCTCAATCTGATAAAGAGCATTTATGGAAAACCCACAGCTAACATCATAGTAAATGGTGAAAGCCTAATAGCTACCCTCCTATAATCAGGAACAAAACAAAGATATCTACTCTTGTCACTCCTACTCAACACTGTACTGAAGTTCTAGCAAGGGAAACTGAGGAAGATACTAAGAAATAATAGGTGTCCAGATTGGAAAAGAAAAAGTAAAACTATCTATGGATAATTTATTTACAGACACGTTCATAATATAGAAAAAACCTAAATAATCAACAAAACAACTAGTAGAGCCAAGAAATGAGTTCAGCAAAGCTACAGGATATAAAATTAATATACAAATATTTGTTGCACTCCTATACACTAGCAATGAACAATCTGAAAATGAAATTAAGAATTCCAATAGCATCAAAAAGAATAAAATACTTAAAGAATAAATTTAACCAAAGTACAAGACTTGAAGACGGAAAATTACAAAACACTGCTGAAAGAAGAAAAACATCTAAATAAATGAACAGACAACACATATCTGTGGATTGGAAGACATAATGCTGTTAAGATGGCAATATTCCCCAAACTAACCTACAGATTCAATGTAATCCCTATCAAAAACCCAACTGGCTTCTTTGAAGAAATTTACAAGCTGATCCTAAAACATGTATGGAAATTGAAGGAACTCAGAATGGTGAAAATAATCTTGAAAAAGAACAGCTAGAAGACTCACAGTTCCTTATTTCAAAACTTATCACAAAGCTATAATAATCAAGACACAACATGACCAAGTGGGATTTATCCCAAAATACAAGGTTGGTTCACCATTTGAAAATCACAAAGACCAACAGGTCTACAATTAGATCAATGAAATAGAATTGGGAATTCAAAAACAAACTTACACATTTATGTTCAACTGATTTTCATCAAAGATGAAAGATGAAAATGAAGAAGGAACAGTCTTTTCAACAAATGGTGGCAGGACAACTAGGTATTTACATACAAAAAAAACGAATTTGAACTCCTATCTCAACCATAAAAGCTAACTCTTTTAAGGACCAAAGACCTAAATGTAAGAGCTAAAAAATATAAAACTCTTAGAAACAAACAGAGGTAAAAATCTGTTTTTTTAGATATGACACCAAAAGCATAAGCAATCAAAGAAAACTAAACTGGACTTCCTCAAAATTAAAAACTTGTGCATCAAAGCTCATCATCAAGAAAGTAAAAAGACAATCCACAGAATGGGAGAAAATAGTTGCAAATCATATATCTAATCAGAGACTAATAACCAGAAAATATTCTTAAAACTCAACAATAAAAAGATAAACCTAGTTGAAAAATGGGTCAAGAATTTGAATAGACATTTCTCCAAAACCAATGTCCAATAAGCACATGAAAAGATGATCAATATCATTACTCATTAGGAAAATGCGAATCAAAACCATAAGATACCACTTCACACCCACTAGTTTTAATTTTTTTCAATGGATAATTACAAGTATTAGCAAGGATTTAGAGAAACTGGAACCCTCACACACTGCTAGTGGCAACAGAAAATGATATAGCTGCTTCGAAGAACAATTCGACAGTTCTTCCAAAAGAATTACATAGGGGTGCCTGGGTGGCTCAGTTAGTTAAACATCTGCCTTCAGCTCGGGTCATGATCTCAGGGTCGTGAGATCAAGCCCCTCATCTAGCTCCCTGCGCATTCAGCAGGGAGTCTGCTCACTTTCTCTCTCCAGCCCCCAAAATAAATAAATAAATCTAAAAAAAAAAAAAAGAATTACATAGAATTACGTATGACCCAGCAAGTCCATTCCTAGATATATATACTCAAAAGAACTGAAAACAGGTATTTAGGGGTGCCTGGGTGGCTCAGTCCTTAAGCATCTGCCTTTGGCTCAGGAAATGTTCCTGGGGTCCTGGGATGGAGCCCCGCGTTGGGCTCCCAGCTCAGCGGGGAGCCTGCTTCTCCCTCTCCCACTCCCCCTGCCTGTGTTCCCTCTCTTGCTGTCTCTCTCTCTAACAAATAAAATCTTAAAAAAAAAAAAAAAAACACCCAAAAACCAGGTATTTAAAAAATACCTGTACATGAATGTTGATATTTACACTATAAACAATAGCCAAAAGTGTGGAAATAACCCAAATGTCCATCAACTAATCAATGGGTAAACAAAATGTGGTGTATCCCTACGATGGAATGTTATTCATCCATAAAAAGAAATAAAATACTGATGCATGTTACAATGTGGATGGACCTCAAAAACATGGTAAGTGAAAGATGTCAAACACAAATGATCCCATACTGTATGATGCCACTTCTCTGAAATATCCTGAATAGGTAAAGCCATAGACACAGCAAGATTAGTGGTTGTCAGGAGAGTAAGAGGCAATAGAGAGTGACTACTTAATTGGACTTAAAGGGTTTCCTTCTGGGGTGATAAAAATGTTCTGGAACTAGAGGTAATGGTTGTACAACACTATAAATGTATTAAAGGCCACCATATTGTGCATTTATAAAATGGGTGACTTTATGCTGTGTGAATTTACCTCCATAAGAAAAAAAAAAGTAAAAGCAAATGTTCACAGAAAATCTTGTACACAATTGTACACAGCAGTATTATCCATAATAGCCAAAAAGTGGAAACACCCCAAATGTTCACCAGCTGATGGATAAACAAAACTGATATATCCATACAATGGAATATTATTCAGTCATAAAAAAATGAAGTACTGTCACATACTCAATATGGATGAACCTTGAAAATATTATGCAAAGGGAAAGAAGCCAGACACATAAAGGCCACCTATTATTAATTCCATTTATATGAAATGTCTAGAATAGGAAAATTCATTGAGACAGAAAGTAGATTAGTGTTTGCCAGGGTACAGGTGCAGGGGAGAACTGGAATTAACTGCTGGTAGGTATAGGGTTTGTTCTGGGGGTAACAGAAATATTATGGAATTAGACAGTGCTGATGGTTGCACAACACAGGGAAAATGTGAAAAACCACTGAAGTATATGTATTACAATGATGAATTTTATATAATGTGAAATATATAAGTAAAAATAAAAGCAAGACTTAATCACCTGTTTACATATTAAATATAAAGACACAGTTAAAAGTAAAAGGACAGAGAAGGATAAAACATGCTAACAATCAAAAGAAAATAAGAGTTGCTATGTTTATATCAGACAAAGTAGACGATAAAACCAAGAGTATTTCAAAGATAAAGGGGATCATTTTACAGTGATAAAGAGGTTAATGCATCAAGAAAATATAATAATCCTAAATGTTTACATTCCTAATAGAAACTTCAAAATACATGCTGCAAAAATTAATAAAATTGCAAAGAAACAGACAAACCTACAATTATACTTGGACATTTCAACATGCCTCTCTCAATAATTTATAGAACAAGTAGATAGAAAATCAGTAAGGATACAAAAGACTTGAACAACACTATCAACCAACCTGACCTGAATGACATTTATAAAACACTCCCAACAATAGCTGAATAAACATTCTTTTCATGTGCACAGAGAATATTTACGAAGATGGACCATATTCTGGGTCATGAAACAAATCTCAACAAATTAAGGAATCCATATCTGTTTTATTTTTAATATAAACCAGTATTAGAGGGGTGTTGAGGGAGACTGGCCCCTAAAGGGAGCATTTGGAAATGGGTGGAGATGGAATTTGGTTGTCACAATGACTTGGCAGATCTACTGAGGACAGTCCAACATCATAAAGTGATGTCCTAATCCAAAATACCAATAATGTCACCATGTGTCCCCACAGTGCCAATTGAAAAACATCATTCTAAACCAGTCAGGAAATCCAGGAACTAGAAGAGTTACATGTGAAAGTTATACAAGGTCTTAGCTGTCCAGCTGCTCTATTCTCACCTCTACATAAAACAGAAGTATAATGTGAGGAAAATTAGTAAACACCTGTCAAGTGCTTATACTACTAGGAATAAAGATATAGGCAATTCACGAAACAACTAACACTTTTGTTTAAAAATAATCATTCACAAAAGTAATTTATCAACACACTAATAAAGTTAGAATAAATGTTCAAGAATGCAAAGAAAAAAACTACATCTTTTTGAAAAAACGTTATAAAAATAAATCTCTTCCTTACTTCTTTAAAATAGACAAATTTTCTTTCCTCTGTAAATTAGGAATAATAAGTAAGTATAGACCAATGTACCTCTCACATGGTAACAGTTTCATTACTTTAAGCATCTCACCTTATGAGCTGCAAAACTGGATTCATTTTTTTCCAGTGCTCTTTTTGCATACTCTAGGGCTTCATAGACCAAGAGTTTTTTCTCCTCTTCTGAGGTCCCACTAAGCTGAGCTATATCACGTGATGCCCGTGCCAATCGCCACAGTAACTCTGCATCTTCACTAATTTGAAATAAATATAAAATAACCATTTTAGCTCACATTTAAAAACTGTTAAAGGTCACATCACTAATGAATAAATATGGTCTTTCAGGTCAGTGAAGATATAGCAGTATCAAAAGCCATTATTCATAATGTTGTATTTTCACATAAAAACTTTATTTGCTAAAATTTCCTACAAAATATCCAATATCATATATAAATATTAACTTTCCTAAATTATCTAAAATACTAACTTCCTCGGGCACCTGGGTGGCTCAGTGAAGCGTCTGCCTTTGGCTCAGGTCATGACCCCAGGGTCCTGGGACGGAGGCCTGCATTGGGCTCCCTGCTCATCGGGGAGCTTGCTTCTCCCTCTCCTTCTGCTGCTCCCCAACCCCTGCCCGTGCTCTCTCACTCTCACTCTCTCTCAAGTGAATAAATAAAATACTAACTTCCTTAGAAAATATCTTTGTATTTGAATTCTCTAAACACCTGCACTACAAAATTCAACATATAACCTAAGGCTTGAGACACTTCAGACAACTCACTAACTGGTTCAGACAGTACCATAAAAATCCACAAACTTTAGAGAGTGGGTCATGCTCAACAAAACAAAACTGCTATATCCCCAGCTCCAAATATAGTACTGGCAGACAATAGGTATATGATAAATATGTTAATAAATAAATGATTGAATATAACAGAATCTCAAAATAAATCTTGTTTGAATGTGTCATCCATGCCATGATGCATGGGAATATTTCAAGTGAGGGCCTGGACTCCTTGAAGAATTTCCATATGAATATACTTATATAAAATAAGAAATGGTTAATAAATAAAATAGTAACCACAATTAAGAGTTAGAAATATTTTTAAAAACATTAAAACTCCTTTTTATTAAATGTTTGTCTTTAAGCCCGTTATATATTTACCAAAATATGGTATTCACATAAAATTTTGAAACTAAAGGTAGCAATAGTATATTTATAATTAAATAAATTAGAGTAACTATCTTACAGCTTACTTTTCAAGTAATGACTCAAATGACTATAAAATGCCAAACATGATACTACAAGTAACTAAGGGAAAAATGGAGAAGAAAAAGTGGATTCTATAGATATTTAGGAAGTAAAATTGATGGGTCATGAAGACAGAACTGGTTTTAGGAATCTAAGAAAGGTAGCTGAAAATGACTCAATATTTTTAGTTTAGGATTAGGTAATCTGTGACCTGGAAATGCCAATTTAGCCTTATTAAACCTATTTTATAGCACAGACTCTCCTTCCACCTACATCCTCCCCAAAACTAACTGCACACTGATACTCTGGACTAAAAATGTAACCTAATACTAAAAATAGAAAAAGGAGTTATTTTTAGTTTCTCTAAAAAAACTGCTTCTAAAGTGATACACAGATACTATTCAATGATGCCATACAAACATCCTAATTCATTTACATCTTATGCCAGTAAGAAATTCACTTAAAAAAATGAGAAATATACAATATAGATAACCATATATTCAACGACTACCTCATATGATCCAAAGCAAAATAACAAAATGAAAAAAATACTTCAACATTCCACTAGAATGAGTAAGGAGAATCACCTTTTCTAAATCAATGAGACATGTAGCACTTGTGAATCATTTACTGTAAGAAACATACTATAAATTAAACTCTAAAAAATATTATTTTGCAGTAAAAACTTTAAAGATGTATAAAAATTTCAAGCACCAAGAGTCATTTTAATTGTTAAATAACAAAAATTTTGAGGAAACTGAAAACTCAGGCTTATCATACACTGCCTACCTTTCCTTGTATTGAGTCAGCAATTGATAAAGTTTCTCTGTTTCTCCACTCTCATATAGGTAGTCTGCTTGTTCGAGAATTTCTTCAACTCTGAAAACTAAAAATGAAAAAAGACACAATAAAGTAGGTCTTCCCAAGCCAACAATTCTAAGAAACAAACATTTTCATATATAAGCAAAAGAAATTAGTTATAAAAATCACCTATAAAGAAGGATCAGAAATTCTGAATAATCTAGATATAAGTGTAGTAGAGGTAAGGATGAAGCTATCATGGTAAGTGGTTTATTGAAATCACAGAAATTTAAAAAATTAGAAAACTTATTGTGGAACTAACTATGATACATTTTTATTTATTTATTTTTAAAGATTTTATTTATTTATTTTTAAAGATTTTATTTATTTATTTTTAAAGATTTTATTTATTTATTTGAGAGAGAGAATGAGAGAGCACATGGCGGGGGGAGGGCGAGAGGGAGAAGCAGACTCCCTGCCGAGCAGGGAGCCTGATGCAGGACTCGATCCTGGGACTCGAGGATCATGACCTGAGCCGAAGGCAGTTGCTTTAACCAACTGAGCCACCAGGCACCCCTAAATATGATACATTTTTAAAAATGAAGAAAGTAGGGTGCCTGGGTGGCTCAGTGGTTAAGCGTCTGCCTTCAGCTCAGGTCATGATCCCGGGGTCCCGGGATCGAGTCCCGCATAGGGGGTCCCTGCTCGGCGGGGAGCCTGCTTCTCCCTCTCCCACTCCCCCTGCTTGTGTTCCCTCTCTCGCTGTGATTCTGTCAAATAAATAAATAAAATCTTAAAAAAAAAAAATGAAGAAAGCAATTTCCTGTGAGGAATTTATGGTACTCTTCCCCTCCATACACACAAACTCTTTGTTGTTGTTGCTAAGTGCCATCCATTGCAGAAAATGATGATATAACATTGACTTCCAGCACTGAAAATTATTACTTCGCATGGACTGCACCACACTGTTTCACTAGATTCTCTTTATGACCTAATTTACACAAACACTGCTATGGAAAAAGAATCAAATTTGTCATCAAGGGGCACCTGGGTGGCTCAGTCGGTTAAGTGGCTGCCTATGGCTCAGGTCATGATCTCATGGTCCTGGTATCAGGCCCCATGTCGTCCTCGTCAGTCCGTAGGGCTCCCTGCTCAGCGGGGTGTCTGCTTCTCCCCTCTCCCTCTACTCATCCCTGCTCATGTGGGCGCTCTCTGGCTCTCTCTCTCAAATTAATTAAAACCTTAAAAAAAAAAAAATTTGTCATCGAAAACTTAGATGAACTTAACTATACAGAGAATCTGAAATTTACCTCACTGGCACTCTGCTCCAACCAATTCATTAACTTGTTTATACCTTACTAGAAAATATATAAACCTTATAGACAATGTAATGCTCTAAAAAAAGTTGACTAGTTCCCGAAAAAAACAGTAAGCTTGAATTTCAGGATATTCCCCAATTATTACAATAAGGAACATACATATTTGTCTTCTATAAGGGTACTGTATTACTTAGTCTTACATATAAGCCAACATTTCAATATATTCAATTATGTTTATTATTTACCTTAGTATGCTTTAATTGATAATAGTGTATTTCAGGTTGAGTTTTTTTTAATTTTTGAAAAATTAAAACCTAGACCAGAAAAAAAAAGCTCCTGAATCTGACACAACTATGTAAACTGAAGTATTTTTTACTAAGTTAACATCATAATGTAATTATAAAACTAGCTTAAAAAAAATTAAATGACAATAGCAAATTCTTCTTTAATCCTACTTCAATCTGGTTGGGTGCCATAGTTCAATATTCATATGGCTGGTTGATTTTCTTAAGTTTGCTTCCATTTTATTGTACACTTTTATCAGTAGCTGATTCTCCAAATTAAGGCTATAACAACCCAAAGATTTTTTTTTTAAGATTTTATTTTTTTAAGTTATCTCTACACTCAACCTGGGGCTCAAACTTACAACCCAGACATCAAGAGTTGCATGCTCTACACCAAATGAGCCAGCCAGGTGCCCCAACAACCCAAAGATTCTTAAAAAGAAAAAATAGTAATCTTAGCATTCTTACTCAATATTTGTATTAGGCAGGATAATGGCCCTAAAAATGTCTACATCTTAATCCCTGGAACCTGTGGAAACGTACAGGTTACATGGCAAAGGGGAATTAAGTTTTTAACTAGAATTAAGGCTATTCATCAGCTAACCTTAAAACAGGAAATGATCCTGGATTAGCCAGGGGGCCCAATATAATCACAAGAGTCCTTCAAAGTGGAAGAAGAAGGCAGAAGAAGAAAGTAGGTAGGAGGCAGAACAATGAAAACAAGGCCAGAGTGAAATGATTACTGGCCTGAAATATGGAGGAAAGGGGTCTTCAGCCAAGGAATGTGGAAAACCTCTAGAAACGAATCAAGGAAAGAGATTCTCCCCCAAAGCCTGGAACACAGCCTTGCCCAACTTGTTGATTTTAATCCAGTGGGACCCATTTTGGACTTCTGAACTATAGAACTGTATGATAATACATTTATACTGTTTTAAGTTACTAAGTCTGTGGTAATTTGTGACAGTTGCTGTGACAGAAAACTTACACAATATTAAATATATTGATCTGGCATATTCGAATGTATACATTGTATGTGTAAATAACAAAGTTACATTTAATTCTATTCATTGATTTTTCTCAGACTTTCTGAGAAGACTGACAGAGATTACTGTCCTTAACATGATCTAGGAATGCTGCATCTCATCACCCATGTAATTAAAAGAAAAATATAGAAATTAAGTGAATAATTTAAAATAGTTCAAATCCTTTTTGTGTGTACTATTCTTTTTTAACTTCTTAAATCACTTATCTATTTTTTTATTATATAGTACAATAAGCTACAATATCCAGGCTTTAAATATGTATTTTTTTCTTGAGTCTTAAACAGAAATTTCTAAAATCATACAGTGTGCAATTTACAAGAAAAAATACTCTTACTCTGATACTACAAACACCACAGGCACTGGGTTGGGAGCATGTAGACCACTCATATCTGCAAATCAGCTGTGTGGGCTTTTTTACTTGTTTAATGTTCTGCAGTTTTCCTGAAAATATTTAAAAATAAGCTATGCTACTGACATAAAGAGACCATATCGTTAAAATGGGCTAAACTTTTAAAGTAAGTTACTTTTCTACTTAATAATGAATATCCCAAGATGAACTGAGATATTAATTCAACTGTACAAAACTAAATTTAGCCTACAATGAATATGCACAAGATCATAATTTTTTTTTTAAAGATTTTATTTATTTATTTGACAGAGAGAGACACAGCGAGAGAGGGAACACAAGCAGGGGGAGTGGGAGAGGGAGAAGCAGGCTTCCCGCCGAGCAGGGAGCCCAATGCGGGGCTCGATCCCAGGACCCTGGGATCATGACATGAGCCAAAGGCAAACGCTTAACGACTGAGCCACCCAGGCGCCCCACAAGATCATAATTCTTAGAATTTTAAAAAATGTCACTGATACGACATAAATTAGTAAACTTTGGTCTTCTAGTTTTTCTTGCTAAGTGTACTCTTAGCCATGTGAGATGTATCTGCACAAAAAGAAATACTCTACTCCTCAAAGTAAGCAATCTACTTCTGGAAATTTCTCCCTACAGAAATTAAAAAGTAGAAAATGAGTATCTAGATTCTCCAGGATTTTTCTAGATGCTAGAAGGCTCTAAGTAGCAACAACATCATCAAAATTTAAGGCAAATCTTTCACACCAACAATACTGTGTCTCAGCAGTACTGAAAGCAGTGCCTCTAAAGATGCCCTGTAGTAGTACAAAGGACTACAGATGAAGGAGCACTGGCCTCGGTTCTGTAGATTCATCAAAGAATCAATGAAAGTCTATGAAAAGAGACAACTGAAGTGATTATATGAAGAACCTTTATTTAAGACGGGCCACTTGTAATTATCTTTTAGGCATTTTACAAGTGAACTTTCACATACACACAGACACTAGTACTGTGACTATATTAGCATATCTTTAAATTTTGTCTATTTTAAAGATAATGAAAAACTTTCTACTGGAGTTCTTCAATTATGGCCGACAAGTGGGTATTTGCTCTATCTATCCTGTGGTAAATATAGACGTTACCATTTTAAAAAAGAGTCCCACAACCCCATCCAACTGAAATGTCAAAACATATGTATGCCCTTGGGATCCCTGGGTGGCTCAGTCAGTTAAGAGGCTGCCTTTGGCTCAGGTCATGATCTCCAGGTCCTGGGATCAAGCCCCACGTCAGGCTCCCTGCTCAGCAGGAAGCCTGCTTCTCCCTCTCCTTCTACCTGCCACTACCCCTGCTTGTGCTCTCTCTCTCAAATAAATTTAAAAAAAAAAAAAATCCTGATTAAAAAATAAAGTTTGTCTTGAATCCAGCAATCTTGCTGAACTTTCTTAAAAAATATATATATATAGGGGCACCTGGGTGGCTCAGTTGTTAAGCACCTGCCTTCGGCTCAGGTCATGATCCCAGGTCCTGGGATAGAGCCCTGCATCAGCCTCCCTGCTCCACAGGAAGCCTGCTTCTCCCTCTCCCACTCCCCCTGCTTGTGTTCCCTCTCTCGCTGTGTCTCTGTCAAATAAATAAAATCTTTAAAAAATATATATATATATATGCCCTTAATTTCTAAAAACATAATTCAGAATATGATTGTATCCCAGTAAATGAAGAAGGAAAAAATGTTTTAATTGGCTTCAATGAGCATGAAGCAGCCCTAGAGAGAAGTAAGCAGTTTTGATGAGTGGAATTATCTGAAGACCATTTCCTAAAAAATATGAAAAATAAAGATCACAGTACAGCAAATAGGAGAGAGAGAGATGACAAAGTAAAACTTGTAAGGACTGATGAAATTATAGTTTTATAGAAACATGGATCATTTTCCAAGTTAAAAAAATCTCTCTCTACATTTTATCAGTAACTGATGTTTTTTCAAGGGCAATGGCCTAGTTGCACAAATTATAATGAACATGCCAATCAACTAATTATAAAGTGACATTTTATTTAAGAAAACAAAGCTAAAGCAAATCAAAGCAAGTTAAATAAATATCCATACTCTGTTCTTTGTATTAACTTTCTAAGTGCTCAAAATATGCTTGAAAACACAGGAAGGATTCTACAATATATGGCAATTTTCATTAAAATCTTTAATAAAGACAATTAACTTAGTTTTCAGAGTAAGTTATACCTTGGAATATTAAAATGTTATTTTTTTTAAGGTCAAATCAAGGTTTCATTTGGAGTTAGGACTAGAACTAACATTTCGAGTTGTTTGTATAAACTTTTACTTTTACATTCATAGAGGAAGTTATAATTTTTTTTTTAAACAGCATATAAATGAACATATATATAAGCCAGCCAGAATGAAAGAATTAGCATATATTGGATGAAATGAACCAGAATTTCTATAACACATTAAACACATATATCATACATTCTTTCAGACCAAAGAGCAACTACACACACACACACACACAAGAATTCAAGTTTATTCAAAAGTTTGATATACAATCCTACGACTACTATCTCTGCTTTTATAACTACAGGATCAAACTTTAAAGCTTGATCTCTTTCTGACTTTCCCAAAGTTTTTCTGCACTCCTTCTCAAATGGATCTCCTCTTCAAGGGTCAGCTTTTATCTTAATAAGGTTTCCAATACCATTCTCTCCCAGAATACAAGGAACACTAAGGAATACTTCTTCATTTATTCCAAGAGGCCCTTAGTTATGGTGGAAACTGGATGCACTCTCCTAAGATTCTTCAAAATGCTTTCTGTTAAATCAGCTACAGACAGGCCAACAGCCCAATTAGTATAACCTTTCATTTTAACCATCTCATAGCCACAGGTTATCACTTCTTTGGGGACATTTTCCCAGTGCTCAGGATCTTTATCCGTTCCTATATCTGAATTCAGATCCTTCAAGGGGATACCAGCAATGTTAACTCCACTCCACACAGGTACACTTGAGTCTCCATGTTCTCCAAGGATCCATCCATGACAGCTTTCTGAGTGGATACCAAGTCTTTGCCCAATAAAGAAAAGGAAACAGGCAGTGTCCAGATTACAGCCACTTCCAATAACACGGTTATGGGGAAATGCACTCAACTCCCAAGCTACATTACATAAGTTAAGATATCCACTGGATTGGAAACCACTACCATTTTGCACTGGGGACTATACCAGGTAATGTTGGAAATCATTAATTTAATGATGGACACATTTCTCTTGACTACATCAAGGCGTGTTTCTCCTTTTCTTGGGTGTGCACCTGCTGTGATATCACTAGGTTGGAGTTTGCAGTGACATGGTAATCTTTGCTGGAAACAATATTTGGCATTTTCATGAAAGAGCTGCCATGTTGAAGATCCACTGTCTCACCCTTCAGTTTGCCTTCATCAACATCCACAAAGGCAAGTTCATCACTCAAGCCTTTTAATAAGATGCTGATAGCACATGCCATGCCAACTGATCCAGTTCCTATAATAGAGATCTTATTGTGATAAATGGTCTCCTCTGAAGTGAAATTCTTAGTAAGTTCGCACCTGACAGTTGCCATCTTGGAGACAGGGATGAAGGACCAACTGTCCCTGAGAGGGGTGCATATCACCTAGCAGGGATGCAGAGCCATCTCTAGGCAAAAGACATTCGTTCCTACAGGGCCTAGTCTCCTGCTCGCCCACAGGACTTCCCCAGCCCAGCTCCTAGCAGCTGGCTCAAGAGGTGAAGGAAGGGAATGGAGAAAAGCCACATCAAAGTTCTTTGAAGCACCAAGTAAGTAAGCAGTTGAAGGTTTAATGCCCTACCACCTCACCCCCCATCCAGCTCACTACTGCAGTTGTGCAAGACCAAACCCAGCTCGTGCGGGCCCCACAAGGGTCCAGCACCTTAAAATGTTTTTTAATTTACTGAATCTGCAGTAATTTTAAATAAAGGCACATTTGAAAAAATGGACTATTACCGTTAAAGCTAAAGTTAATTTCAGCTTTGCCTTTCAAAGTGCCATATTTTGTTGCTCAGGGAAGCCCTACATCTTTGCACTCATTTCTGTAAGGAAAGGGTGCTAAAGCACACTGAAACTAAGTGTGACAGACCAAAAAAAATTGATTAGAGTTCTAATCTCTGCTCTGACACTTTGACTTTGAAGAAGTTAAACTGTGAGCTTCTTTTTCAAAGGTTAATACTATAATGGGTGGAGCCTGGCTGGCTCAGTCAGTAGAGCTCCTGACTCTTGACTTCCGGGTCCTGAGTTCCAGTGCATGTTGGCTACAGAGTTTAAAATAAAATAAAATAAAAAACAAACAAACAAAAACACCTAAAACGGAACACACACACACAGATCAAAATACTAAAACTGCAACCACTGGGCACATCTCTCAGGGATACATTTTAAAAAATTATTATCATGTCGTAATACAGTTTGTCCTTACTACTTAGAAGGTTGCTGTAAGAATTGAAGTTAGGTGAAAAGTTTAGGGAACCAAGTCCTCTACTTTATCCGTCATAAAAATTATACATAAAAGGAAAGATAAAACAAAAACACAGCAATTCTCAATTATCTGCTCTTTTATTTTTTTTTAAGATTTTATTTTTATTTTATTCATGAGAGACAGAGAAAGAGGGAGAGGGAGAAGCAGGCTCTCTGCAGAGCAGGGAGCAGGATTTGGGACTCGATCAGAGGACCCTGGGATCATGACCTGAGCCGAAGGCAGTCACTTAACCAAGTGAGCCACCCAGGCGCCCTTTATCTGCTCTTTTAAAGACAAGAATAATCATGGGAAATTGAAATCAATAACTAGTAATTTTTAGCTAATATTCTCAAACTCATCTATCACAACTTTAATAAGAACATCTATTCAAAATAAAACCTCTGCTTCTTTCCCCAATCACTTCTAAATGATTAAAAGGTGGGGACTACCAAAAACAAAAAGGCTTAACGCATTAATTAAAAATTTTTCTCTAATATACTGAAATTTTGCCTCTGTCAACACACACAACTGGTTTAATTAATTTCTTTTAAATATGGCAAGTCTAGACATATACTCATCTATAGTATGCCAAATAAGAAATCTGATAGAATTTTTCTACTTTTCAATCAGTTATTTGATATTTAGTACTAAATTGCATTTTGTTTGTAAATAAAATATTTTTACCTCAAAGTAATTGGGCCTTTCTTAACTATATCAAGAAGAGTATAATAACTTGGAATTAAGGAACAAAAGAATTATTGTGTCAAAGGGCCAGATCCATTCTCTGTGGTATATCCCTCTCCTCCTAATCCCTCAACCCCTTAAAAATGTAAAAAATATTCTTAGCCCAAGGATCCCATAAAACTACAAAATATTAACAGAGTATTTCTCACTGAAGGAGCTCTAGTTGCTAGAAGAAATTACATATGCACAGATATATATATGTTCACACAGAGATGTACACACAAATATAATATATATACATATTAAATATATATAATCAGACTCAATGACAAATAGAGAAAATCAGAAATATAGCCTAGAAAAAAGCTTCATTACTTATTCAAAAATAACAAAGTTATTAACAAAATATAACAAACATAATTAACTCTAAATAGTCCATGTGTTTAGCTTAGGCTTACCTTTGGCTGTGGCATGAACCAAAGCAGCCTGGGAAAATACTTGAAATGTTTCAAAACCCAAATAAGGTAAAGCTGAGAATAAAAAGCTTCTTTTGAAAGATCCTAGATTTCCCATCACCTATGGAAACAATTATGGTCAGAGTTATCAAACACAAAATGTGAAGGAACAGCTACTCCAAGCAAAAATTACATCAATTAAAAAAAATTACAACTTTCTCCTACCCCCAAAGCAATCAATCCTAAGAATACTGGAAGCTCGAAATTTACTTCAAATTCTTCAGTAAAACTATTTCATAGTTACATTACAGGGAGAGCATATCCTGTTAAGAAAAGATTCTTAACAATGGCTAAGGCTAACAATAGTAATTTATCTAAAAATCACAGTCATGCTAACTGCTGGACTGTAAGATCTACATTTTATTTGAGGAGGTATGGATATTATAACTATGAAATAAAATATGAGATACTAATATATAACAGGTACCAATCCTAAGAACAGACAAGATGAAAAATATCAAATATGGTAATTACTACACATAAAAAATGTACATGGATTTAAAGGTATCTTCAAAAGTGATCTACAAAACCCATAGTTTTGAAATAAACAATGAATAAAATAAAGAACATATCCAAATAGATTTGTAAATGGATTTTCATTATTATGGCCAGAATTCTCAAGACCGAAGGCAAAGGAGTATATGGATATCACTCCACCAATTCTTTCCTACAACAGTTTTTCTCTTTCACAAGATAGTATCATTTTCTCCCTTTCTGTTGATTCATTCCCACTGGTATAAAAACAAGCTATACTATCTTTGTTAGGTTTTTATTTTTCTCTTAAAAACAAAGAGCTTCCTCTTGAATTCACTTCTCCCTTTAATCTCATTTTCTAACTTCTCTTTTCAACAAAACTTTTAAAAAGTTGTCACTACTCTGTCTCCACTTCCTCTCTTCCCACTCTTGAACTCACACAAATCACTTTATCCCCACAACACCACTGATGGTATTCCAGTTACAGTAACCAAGGACACAGCTATTTCCTATACTCAATTCTGAATCTCAGCTTCCTTGACCTATCAACAGTATTTGACAGGGGATCCCTTTTTTTAAAGTTATGAATGGATGTTTAATTTTTTTTAAGATCTTATTTATTTAAGTGAGAGACAGAAAGAGAGAGAGCAATGAGCAGGGGGAGGGGCAGAGGGAGAAGCAGATTCCCCACTGAGCTGGGAGCCCAATGCAGGGCTCCTATGCAGGGACTCCGGGATCATGACCTGAAGGCAGACGCTTAGCCGACTGAGCCACCCAAACGCCCCTGAATGTTTAATTTTTTTACTAAAACAGCTTTAATAAGGGGCGCCTGGGTGGCTCAGTCGGTTAAGCGTCTGCCTTCGGCTCAGGTCATGATCCCAGGGTCCTGGGATTGAGTCCCGCATCGGGCTCCCTGTTCAGTGGGGAGTCTGCTTCTCCCTCTCCTTCTGCCCTTCACCCCACTTGTGCACACATATGCACTCTCTCTCTCCCAAATAAAATAAAATCTTAAAAAATAAAAATAAAAGTTTTATTGAGATATAAGTGACATACTACAAACTGTATATACATAATATGTACAATTCATTAAGGCATGTATATAAACCCATGAAACCATCACTATCACCACAATCAAGATAAAGATATCTGCAAACCCCTCCCCCCTTTTTCCTCATGCTTCTTTGTAATACATCAGCCCCTTTCATCAGCACTTGCTGTGTTCTCTCACTCTTGAAACACTTTTCACTTCGCTTTTGGAACACTACTATCATATTTTCTCCGGTTTCAACAACTGCTCCTTTTCTTTGGTTGGTTCCTCCCTGGCCAGCTATGTTTTGGGCTTTGTCCCCAGACCTTCTTTTCTCTACTTGTACCATTTTGGTGATCTCGTCTTTAAATACCATCAACATGCCAAAAACACACAAATGTAATATGAAGCCTGGGTTACACCTCTAAACTTCAGAATCATATATCCAGCAGCTTAATCAACATTTAGCTCCACATGAAGTACAACAGGCATCTCACATTTATTAGCCAAAAAGGTACTGTTTCCCTCAACTTTACCCATCTCACAACTTTCCCTCTCATGGTAAAGGGCAATTCTATTCTTCTATTAGGTTAAAAAAACAAACAAACAAACAAAAAACCTTGTAGCCATTCTCGACTTTCTCTCAGGACTCACATCTGACCCATATTTTAACTTCTCATAAGGATCTAGGGTAGGAATGAGGAATCCAACATATTCCAATTTGCTGAGTGCTTTAATTTCTTGAGCATGAATATTCAAGATATTACACACAACTGGATTCAAAACATATCAACAGCAAAGCAGGAAAACTGAATTTGACATAATCACAATTTTAACATATTTTCTGAGTTTATTCATATTTACCAAGGAGAAGCAAGATGGGGTTAGGAGCAGAGGGTATGGGGGTGTGGATGTATGGTGGTGGTACTTAGAAGAAAAAGACTTAAGATATCAGCAGTAAGTCTCCTGGTTCCTTATTTTTATGGCAGATATATAACATGGTTGAAACGTTTGCACAGACTGTTATAGCTTGAGAAAACTACACATTCACAGTGTTCAATTTCCTTGCTGGTATCATGTTTAATAAACAATATCCTGGCTTTCTGAGAGGGGAAAAAATGCACTGTTGGGCAGCTGACATTTGTATTTCTTACTGTAAATTAATAAAGTGACAGTTTTCCAGTGGGACTCTGACTAGTTTGGTTAATGTAGAGCAGTTTTCTGCTCACCTGTGAGAAAATAGATAGAAATCATGTTTCTGGAACTAAAAAAATAAATTAAAAGAATTAAGACCTAGTGACCCCTGAAGATACTAACAACTTGTGAAACTGTCTGAGACAGCTAGAATGTGCCATTTTACTTTGCACCTCCAATACTCTACAATTCCTGTCACATAAATAATTCTCAAAAAATATCTGTTAAACCAAAGAAGTAAGCTATCTGTTAGGTAGGTCTTTTCTTCAACACTAATTATACTAAATTCAAACTAGAAGGAATTCCAAAATACAAACTCATCACTAGATGGGAAGGAATGTGTCCCTACCATCTCCCAGTTTTCCTCCTAATTTCCTGTCAGCTCCTCCTCCTCTTAAATATTGGAATTTCTCCACGGTAGGTACTAGGTCTTCTTCTTGTCTTACTATAAAGTACTTTCAACCTCTACCATGTTATCATTTACAACCATATGATAATGTCCCCTGAATCTGTATCTCCAGCTCAGACCCCAGAAGGTAAACACCAGACCTATCCAACTACTGTCTATTCTACATGTCAACTTGGCTATCTCATCAATCACCATAACTTGCCCAAAACATCTCATCTCCCTCTTTGCCATCCCCCCCAATTGCTTCTGTAGTCCTATTCCAGTAAACAGCATCACCATCCACCCTGCTGCTCTAGCCAGAAACTTGAGATCTTCCTTGACTCCTTCCTTTCAACTCCCACATCAAAGCTATCTTTTAGTTCCACTAAGTTTATATCCTTAATGTACTTTAAATGCACCCACTTATTTTCATTTCCATGATTACCACTAAAGTTCAAGCCACTAGATTTCTCACTGTGCTATACCAATCATCCCTTATCTGGTCTATAGCATCCACTCTAACCTATCCATTCTTGACCCTAGACAAAGTTATTTTTTTAGCATTATTTTGATCAAATGATTTCCCTGTTTAAAAATTTTTCATGGTTTCCTATAATCTTTAGAATAAAATGAGAGGGGTGCTTGAGTGGCTCAGTCGGTTAAGTGTCTGCCTTCAGCTCAGGTCATGATCCCAGGGCCCTGGGATCAAGACCCGCATCAGGCTCCCTGCTGAGCGGAGAGCCTGCTTCTCCCTCTGCCTGCCACTCTATCTGTGCTCTCTATCTCTCTGTCAAATAAATAAATAAAATCTTAAAAAAAAAAAAAAAGAATAAAATCAGAAACACTTAACATTGTTTATATGGTTTTCTGAATCTGGTGGTGGTAAGCAGCCTCTAAAATGGCCCTAATGGGTCTGGTTCAAGATGGCAATGTAGGAGGATCGTGAACACCCATCCTCTCATGGACACACCAAATCTACAGCTACATGCCAAACCATTTCCTCTGAAAGAAACCCAAAAAAAGACTGAAGTCATACCATGCATCTTTTCTGACCACAATGTTATGAAACTAGAAATCAACCACTAAATAAATAAATAAATAAATGTGGAAAGGGCACAAATACATGAAGGTTGAATAACATGCTACTAAACAATAAATGGGTCAACCAGGGAATCAAAGAAGAAATAAAAAAATATATAGGGACAAATGAAAATGAAAACACAACAGTCCAAAATCTTTGGAGTGCAGCAAAAGCAGTTAGTTCTAAGAGGGAAGTTTACAGCAATACAGACTACCTCAAAAAGCAAGAAAAATCTCAAGTAAACAACCTAACCTTACATCTAAAGAAGCTAGAAAAACAAGAACAAACAAAACCCAAATCCAGCAGGAGGAAGGAAATAGTAAGCATTAAAGCAGAAATAAATTATATAGACTAACAAAACAACTGAATAGATCAATGAAACCAGGAGCTGGTTCTCTGAAAGATCAACAAAATTGATAAACCTTTAGAGAGACTCATCAAGAGAGAGAGAGAGAGAGAGGAAGGAGGGAGTCAAAATCAGAAATGAAAGAAGAGAAATAACAACTGACATCTTAGAAATACAAAGTGTTATAAGAGAATATTATGAAAAATCATATGCCAACAAACTGGACAACCCAGAAAAAATGGATATCATCTCCCAAAACTGAATTGGGATGAAACAGAAAATTTGAACAGATGGATTACCAGCAATGAAACTGAATCACTAATCAAAAAACTCACAACAAACAAAAGTCCAAGACCAGATGCTTCATTCTACCCAACATTTAGAAGAGTTAATACCTATTCTTGTCAAACTTTTCCAAAAAACAGAAGAGAAAGGAAAACTTCCAAATTCATTCTATGAGGCCAGCATTATTACCCTGATACCAAAACCAGATAAAGACACTACCAAAGAGAACCCCAGACTAATATCTCTGGTGAACACAGATGCAAAAA